GTTGTAAAACATCTAGCGGCTAGGGTGTTTAATATGCAGTAATTGTTTACCTGCCTAAAATTGCTTAGAAACAAAAAGCTTGGACACTGTAAACAGGAAACCTTAAAAGCCTCTACAAGACTTTCTTACTGGGGAGCAAGCTGTTTCTCCTGTTGTATTTGGAATCTCTCTACTTCACTTTGTTGGGGAGTGTAGTCAGCACATCCCCAGTTTTGTGCTAATAGTGTGTCTCCTTGGAGTTATACTTGCCCTTTAAAGGGAATTGTGTGAGAAACAAAAACATTGGGAGGTCACTAGATTCCAGGTCTGAGTGGGTCAGGGATTCCAGGAGAGCATCTCTGGGAAAAGTGAGCTAATTTTCTAAGTGATTAATCAGGGAAATGCTCTTCCATCCAAGCACAGTGCTCTGTTTCAGCAGCAAGTGTGTCTGACCGATGAGCGTCCACCACACACAACAGCCGCTGGATCTTTTACATAAATGAAACATTCTTCTGTTTTAATAATTTCTTTTAATTCTAGTGATATCTATAATGGTAAGTCATCTGTTTGTTTACTATTTTAAGTAGGTCTTCACAAGGCACTTGTTTAATATAATTTAATATATTGACAGTAGAGTTAAGATTTTTAACAGCTATGTATTTGTATTAATATTTATTAATGTTGAAATACTGACAGAAGGATAAAGGATGCATGTGAAATATTTGTTGTGTTAGGATAATATATGTGAATGAGGCAGCATTGAAAACATGTAACTCTAATTGATTCCTGCCAGTTCATGTATCTTTATAGTCAGTGAGACTCAGTCCAATATAATTGGGAAAATGCACAAGGAAGAAGCAGAGCGAATAGGCCTGCTATTTGTCAGAACCCGAGTTATGGCCTCTAAATCTTCCTACAGTGTACAGCTATGTTCATTACCTCAAAGACAAACTCTGGATGGTAGGATGAACCAAGATCAGACCTTTTAAACCCCTGCCAAGGCTTCAGACCAGAAAGTTGGAAGCTGGGGGATGCTCTTGGGTCTTGGGACACTAGCAGGAGCACTACTATACTGACCTTCCTCAGAGCTGCCATTTTACATCTTTCGTCATATGCATACAGCAAGTTTTCAGAGGGTTTGAATGTTTTAGGGGGTTGCATCTTCTCAGGCCCTGCACTCAAATTAGAATATGTTGAAACCCAATAGCAAAAATGGACTTTATGCATTCAAATAGTTAAAGGGAAAAGGAGTTCAGCAATACAGCAGGATCACTGAAATCTGAGTTTGGTTTGTGGCACCCCAGGCTGGCAGGGTTTGGGACTACTTCAGAGGATGCTGTTGGAATAGGGGAGAGCTTCATTACCCTCTAGCAGTTTCTGCCATTAAGGAAATGGTGACAGGCTTTGAGGAGAGTCCTGTCTAGTTCAACTGCCCTGACTGAGAAGTGAGTATGAAGTCATAGGGATCACTGGAATTCTGCATTGCCAGACTGGAGCTGTTACATATTAAGTAAGGAAGCTTCCTGTCTTAACTTTCTCAGTCCTGTCTACACCAAAAGATGTGATGTTCTTTTGGAGAGGTGAGTCAAGGAGCCTTGGCATGGTTTAAGGTTCTACTGTTTTAATGATTAATTACGAAATCCTAGTATTTATTACCTTTCTGAATTAAAAAAGGCCATGGAGCTGGATCTCCTGCCATACTTTACATGCACAGTACTATCAGCTGTAGCTTTCCTTATCCTTAATTAACTCTCAGGCACATTGTGAGAGGGCAGAAGAGAAAAGACACTCACTGTGTAAAGAAATCCATATAGTATTGCACAAGTAACAAGTCTCAGGTAACCCAGCATACTGGACATCTCAATATTTTAGCACTTTTAGCATGGATGTATTTCAGTCAGTAAATCATAAAGTGTGACTGCTTCAACCAGGCACATTGTTTTACTATTTTCTTGTTAATGGGAACAATGTGGAGTTTGGTTACACTGAGATGTAAAATTACAGCAGCACATACAGAACATAAAGTTATTAAAGTGAAATAGATGTTGCATTTATATTCTCAGTATGTGTGTTTAAAATGCAGATATTTTAAAATAAATATTTTATCCAGTAGTTCCTGATAGCACCTTTATAAATTAAAAAAATCATTGCCACACTAATAGGCTTCTTAAAAGTATAGTCTACCAGATTTCCCCCTTGGGTAACTGCATTGACTTCTGTGGAGTTCACCAGGGATGAATTTGGCTCCATGTGTATCCAAAGGGTCACTATCTGTCATGTTTTTGAGTGCAATTCCTTTCTCATAAGCACCATGTTTTATAGAGGTTCTCTCCGAACTAGCCTAATGAGAGGCTGGATGGATAGGATAGCATATTTTCTGTATGGTATATACTAGGGAGTTTTATATGTCTTCCTCAACACAGATCCATCACATGCCTAGTTACAAACTTCCACTTGCAACCTAACTTTGAGGTTATAGGTCTGACCTATAGTATTATTCACCTCCCAGTGATGTCAGAGGAGAAAAACAATTGAATTCCAGACCTCTGACATCAACCTGACCTGAAACGTTCTTGCAGTAGCAACTAGAAAAGGGCTACTGAATCTAAATTAGCAAGAACTGAAGAAAAGCTGTGCGTGAAATGGACAGAGTCCTTCCCAGGGCCAAAGACATAAGGCTGCAATAAATCAGTACATTCTACAGAGGGGAGTTGCTTCAGATACTGGCTTGACGCCATTCAGAGTGTCACGGGAAGGCTGGGAAAGTGCCTGCCATCACACTGATAAATTCCCTACTTCATTTGTTTATTGATCTGACTTTGCATTTTAATTTATTTTATTATTTATTTTTATCTTTGCTATGTTCGACACAGACTTTGCTTTAATGTCAGTTTGAAGGACCAGTTAATTACCCTGATTTATATGTGATAGGTTAATCAGTAAGATAATCAGGGATGTGTTGAATGCAGTTTAGCTGTGGATCAGGAGAGGGAGTCCAGGAGCTCTGAGAAACAGACATCAAGGGGGTGGGGTTGTTGCCTATGGCTGCTCCACCCTCACTTTGTCAGCAGGTAGAGAGAAAGCTTGCAGTCCCAGGGGAGGGAGGCAGAGAGCTGAGGAACACAAACTGCAAACCACAGGCTTCCTCCTCCAAGGAATTGATCCAGAAGTGCTTTTCTGGAGGGAAAGCTCTTCCACAACATCTACATAACTTTTCAAGTCCACCTCAGGATTCAGAGTCCTTGCTTCTGGGATCTATTGCCTACTTTGTACTGATTGCAGTCTGCCTACGTTTGCTGCTGGATTTTTGCTGATATTTCCAAACTTTGTTTTCTTTCTCACTCCCCACATTTCGAGCTGATCATTGTATGTGCTGTAAGGAGAAGAGAGACTCTTTTATTTGAATGGAGTATTCAGAAATGCTTTTGGATTCATTCTAAGGTCTTTCGATTGCATTTGGACACTTAACTTCAGCCATGCCTGGCCCAGGAACTTTCAGCCTGGAGTAAATTTCTACCTTTGATCTTGTTAGATTGTCTTTCCGGCTGTGGAATTCCATTCCTATCTACCTGCATTTTGTGTGTGTGTGTGTGAGAGAGAGAGAGAGAGAATTATGGGACACTTTTTGCTAAGCTGTTAGAAGTTGGTTTTGTCCAGGATTTATAGAAAACATTTCCATCTGTTTCAGCCCCTGTGGATTCGTGCAGGCAGACTACTCAACAGGTTTGCAGATCTCTCTTAAAAATCCATATCTCCCTTCTCAGGAGAATGATCAGTGTACCAAGTCATTTTAGTTGCCAAATTTCCCTGTCCTCTCTACAATTATGAAGATTCTTCAGTACTTTTTATGTGACCTTTGGGTAGCTCATATGGATTTTTTATTTTATTTTGTGGGGCTTTTATTTATGATTGTATTAACATGTGCTTGAAAGCAATTACAGAAGTTCCTGGGCGTGCACAGGAATAGCATAAAACAAGGACATGTTGGTAACTTTTTGCTCAAAGCGTGTGCCTAAACTTTTAAAATGTTTTGGGGGCCTTTTTACCTCCTGGGAATTTGAAAATAGGTTGAGAAGACTCTTGTTCATCTAATGAATTTTGGAAACTGAAGATCAGAAGATATGTGTTTTAAAACAGACTCCAAACACAGATTACTAGTAATTTCCTATCCTTATGCTGAAACAGGAGAATAAATCTTGATCCCCAAGCCCAAGTGAGCGAGGCATTTCTAACAGAACAGGGATGTCAGGGATCAAATAAATTTGGAGGACAGCCCAATAACAAACACTTATTATTTATACTGAACTTTAAAAATACTGCTGTAATTATCAAAGGGAAATATACTCTCTCCTCCAACATTATTCTTTAATATGTGGAGTTGATGGAGGACACTGATACTTGTAATTAATATTAAATCGGAAGAGCTCATGCTTTTGGGAATGAGATATGTGGAAAAGATAACTAGCTGGAGAAAAGGGCAAGTACATCTAAGATTGATCCGTTCAACCTGCTGATCATCTTGAAATGTAATCCTGAAAGGGCAGGAGCTGTAGACACACTTCTTGCATGGCAGAGACTCGCTCTGTGATTAGCTCAGGCAGGACTGAAATGCTACATAGTGTTGTTGTGTGTCCTGGCTGGGTTTTTTTAATGCCCATTTGTTCAGTTTATGTTGATCTTTCTGGATTTATCCATTGGAGGAGAAGGAGAAACGCCTAATTTAAATTGTTGGTGTTTGGTTTTTATTTTGTTAAGGCCCCACAGGCCTTTGGGCACTTGGCACCAAGGAAGAGAAATGATTATGGTGAGAAACAGAAGAGGAACCCAATAAGGAGTGCCAGGAGGAAGGGGCTGTAGGTTACTGAGCCCCTCTCCCCTCCTTCCCATCTGCCCCACTTGAGTGGAAACACACAAAAGCTCTAAACTTAACCAGCTCTGTCAACTGTTGGAACCTGCTGGTGGGGTGAGGACACATTCCTGAGCGATATGTGTGGCCGAAGTGCACTGCTGCAGCTGGTAGCATGAGTGCTGGCCCCCAGCTGCAGCTGGCTGTCCTCTGGCCTTGGCTGCTAATGGCTACACTGCAGGTCAGACTTGGCCTTACTGGGCTGGCAGTGGCAGCGGCAGTGGAGTCAGAGAGATCAGCAGCACAGAAGGCTATCATTAGGGTGATCCCCTTAAAAGTGGAGCCAATCACATTGGAAGGAGTGTTTGCTGATGTTGCTGAGGTTACTCCAGCAGAAGGAAAACTGCTGCAGGTAAGAGAAACTTTATTCTATCCCATTCCATTGGCCTTATGCTCCTAGTGCTGTGTGCCTTCCCTCCCCTTCCCCCCCACATTGCTTCCACTCCTAGTGCAGTGGAATCGTCTTTATTTCCCACGTGTACATCTGTAACCAGAGGAACCATGTGTTTTTTCTCTCTGAGCTGCTCACCTGTTTGCTTTGTGGTATAGTATAGTATCCTACTGCTCTTTAACCTTTCACACTGTGTCTCTTAAGATAATTTCTTTTATAACTGTTTTTTCGTCCTGTCATCAACTGTAGTTGTATACTAATGCTGCTAGTGTACTAATGCTGAATGTATGGACATGGTCAGTTGCTCCTATGGGGATTATTACTTTCTATCATAGTTGGTGATACAATGCAAAGTCTGGTGAGCCACTTTCCATGTTGCGCAAACACCGCTCAAAGAGGATGGGCTTTCCTCTGATAGATTTCCCCTGCCTCCCTCCTTACTTTTATATTTCTAATGGAGCTGAGGGATACAGGTGGATTCTGTCCTCCATAATTATTGATCCAGAATCTGAGTGTTGGCTCAGCTAAGGAGGCAAATTATCCTCAATTCTCAGGTTCCCCCCCCCGCATCAGTACCTTACCTGTTATAAGTGTAATCAATATCTGTTTCTAACATCTTGATCGAAAGAGAGAGGAGAGCCTCTGAGGATTATAGCAGCAGAGGCTGTGACAGAAGCACAGTTGTGCTGGTCGGTGAGCAGGCTGATTGCTCACATAACGTATCTGTAAAGTTCAGTTCATTGTAGCAGAGCATGGTGCGCTACTGGAGTACCTTCATGTGCCATCTTGTCTGTCAGTGACTTGCCTTGTGTGTCTTTCTCACACACAACTGAGCTCCTTGTTCAAGAACCAGATATTATAAAACTCATGAAGACAGATAATTTTTATTAATTTCAGTTCTGAAGTCATATTTAATTCTGAAAAGCGTTTGGCTGTGGTGACTTTCCAAATGTGACACTGACTCTTCAGTAACTAAAACAGTAAATTGTTCTTACAGTGGGGGAACAGAAAGATTTTTGAGCCAGTCTTGTAATATATGGTCCTCTGCTAACAGATTAGAAATGGACAGTAATACAAGATTGAGGCACTGAGGCATTTTGAAGCTTAATTCAGGTTTGTAAAGCAATTTGAACTCGGAATGAAAGTGCTAGAGCAGAGCAAAGTATTATTCTATTAAACCATATTCCCATTATGAAAAGTATCCTCGAAAAATATACTTGATGACCAGTTCTGTCCTCAAGCAACAGCCATGAAGTCAATATCAATGCCATACCAAAATCTACAGTAGTACAGTATGTAAGTGCTGCATTTGAGCATACAGGTCTTCAGATGTTCAGCCCAAAATATAGAATATTGAAAGGTTTTAAAAAGAGGATATCCTGTGTTGCATGGAAGTTCGAACATTTTACAGTGTTTCAAATTGTTATCCTTTTCCTATAAGAAGGAAGCTGAACCCATTCTAAGATACCATAGAATGAACTATTTTGAGAACTAAACATTGGTAGATTGGAGTGTTAAATCTATGAGAGAATAAAAATATCCACAAAATGAAAAGGTTGGAGAAACTCTCAGTAATCATATCTAATGTGTCTAGTGTATGTAAACATACAAACAATACAGTTCAGTATCTGATTTTAGGCCAAAAGAAAAGGAGTACTTGTGGCATCTTAGAGACTAACCAATTTATTTGAGCATAAGCTTTCGTGAGCTACAGCTCACTTCATTGGATGAACTTCATCGGGATTTTAGGCCCTGATTCTGCAACTAGGTTTGTACAGGTGGACATTTCCCACCCTCAGAGTCTCACTGAAGTCAATAGTATTCCATCTGTTTGCAAAGGTCCATGCACGTGTAATTGGTTTCAGGATTAGGGCCTAAGATTAAATTTGTCTTCATTTACAGGATGTTTATACCACAACTGCCAGAAAAGCTCAGTCAATTTTAGCTCTGACTCATTATGTGTATGTATAATATGATCTTTAATTACGTTATAACATACTAATACTCAGGTAATACAATATAGTGCCATTTAAAAAAAAAAAAAGGCAGATCTTGCTGTAGGATCCATGTGGTCAGGCCCCTGTGACAACATGGATCCCATTGCAAGAGTTGAAATCTAGATACACAGTTGTAGCTTGTTGTAAGAGTAAGAGCAAATTCACTTTATTTCCTCAAAGTACACAGTGAAAAGGGTTTAAGTAACTCAAATATAAGAAACTAATAGGATGGCCTATATATGGGTTCACATTTAAATAGGGAAATAATACATCTTAATTATGATATATTGGAATATCTTACTGTCTTTATATTAATAACATCCCGATCCTGCATGTGTTTAACTTTGGCATCAATGGGATTACTCGTGTGAATAAAGTTAAGCATGTGTGCAAGAATCTGCAGGTTCAAGTCCTTATATATGATTTAGATACTAAACGCAACATTATATTTCCATCAGCTAATGAGAAAAGCTTATTTTTTATTTTTTTTTACCTCCAAGTTTAGATCTAAAGTTGTTACTACATGGGTACATTTCAAAATCAGTAATGTACAACCAGTGAGTCATCCACAACTGTACATAAACTATCAGTGTTACCACTGAAGAGAAAAATGTCTGAATGGTCCTTTGTGAAAAATTGTAGTTCTACTAATAAAGCTAAAGGCTATATAACAGCCTTTTATGGATAAATGAAGTTTACTAGAAAGCTACATACTGCAAACTAAAAAATTGGAAAATATAAACTGTTAATACAATGATACAAGATTCAGCTTCAGAATTAATGTAGTAAAATGTTAATCACTTATGTAATCCTACAGCCCTTTCTTCCATGGGTATTGCCTTTCAGTTCTGTAGGATTACTCATATATAAGGGGCCAAGGGCTGCAAAATTAGGCCTCACGCATTAAAAGAAAATTCTCTATCTATGGTACACTTAGATTGACCAAAATAATTACTGTGAAAAAGGCAGTTTATTATATAAAAGAATTTAATGTAACCAAACATGTAAATATCACTATCAGAATATTTTTTTATTTTCAATATATATATCAGATTCTGTAGGTGCATTAAAAATGTTTAACAATCAACATTAATCCTAACGTATCAAACAGACTTTATAAATACGACTTCATAAATAAAGCTCTCCCAAGTCCAGAACAAACTCAGTCCTATACCCACCCTCCCCTTACCACAGCATCATCCTTTCTGTTTATACCAGAAAAAGCCTGGGAAAACACTGAATTTTGCAGCATGTCCCAAAGGTCACCAAATCCGGGCTCCTGTGAACAGGGAGGGTATAGGGGATCAAGATAATTCCAAAGCAAAGGATCCCTCACTGAGAAGTCCCTGCCATCAGCCCCCTCCAGTCTAAAACAGAGAACAGTTAGCTCTGGCACTCCAGAGGTAGTATGTCACAAAGAGAGAATAATCTCTCAAGTGCACAGGACCACTTTAGACATTATAGGTCAAAACCAACACCTTATACTTCAAATGGAAATAACGTGCTCTCAGCATGAAACATTGCTTAGTAAGTGGGCAGCAGCATTCTGCACTAGCTGCAATTTCCAAACAGTGTGAAGGTGCAGCCCCATGTAAAGAATGTTGCTGTAATCTATCTTTGACATGAAAAAGTCTGGGTAATTGGAGGAAGTATCTTTACATTAAAAAGGAAAGGACATAACCTTCTAGACAAGCACATTAATAAAAGCACTTTGCAACTAACTGGAGATCCAGAAGCATCTGAGATCCAAAATGCCCACCAGTTTCTAACCTTAGAAATGTTTGGCAGATGAGCTGCCTCAGTTGTGTTTACTAATAAAATTTCTATCACTACTTCTCGTTTTCTCTATTCTGTAATTTTTATCAGTCTCTGTGACTTGAGTCTCAGCCAGTTAGCTTTTTCATTCATGCCCCAATCTCCATTAGATGTTATGTAAATCATTTAGTTTCACTGGTAGGGTTTGAAAAGATAGAAATATCAGATTTCCCAGAAAAAATGGGATAGAGCCATACTCCAGATTGACTCTGCCTACTTCTGTTAGAGATTTAGGGATAATGAAATTTATTTGAGAAATATGTGATCATGTAATTAAAGAATGTATTGAAAAGCATACATCCATGGGGTGCAGAATTAAAAATTAAACATTAATGATCATTTCTTTTTGGGATGTATAACTGTTCAAACTCATGTAGAAGTAGGAACATGGTATTGCCTTTATATATGATATTAATGAGATCAGTATTAAGAATTCTGTATCCAGTTCTGGTGTCCACATTTTAAAAAGAATGTTGATAGATTAGAAAGGGTAAAAAGAAAAAAAAAAAAAAAGAGTGATCCAAGGTCTGAGAAACCTGCCAGATAGAGAGACCCTTAAGAAACTCAAATTATATCTATAATTTTATGCAAGAAATGGTTAAGAGGTGATTGATCATAGTCTGTAGAAACCAACATGGGAAAAAGATTTCTCATAGTTGAGAGCTCTTGTAATTTAGCGGATAAAGATATCAGTGTTGGCAACTCTTGTGATTTGACTACAAGTCTCACAATACTTGGTGTTTTTCTTAAAATCCCAGTTGCTAGAATCAGAAAATAGCATGAGAAACTCATTTCTTTAAAAAAAATAAAAATAAAAAAAAATAAAATATGCTTTTAGTTCTGATGATTGCAGAGAAAAACTTGAAAACAAAAAGCAAAACATCCTAAAGGCTCAGAAGGCAAAGAAAAAACTCAAAACTTCATATTAAAAAAACTTAATTTTAAGTCAATGACATGATGGGGGGGCTGACTCATGATTTTTGAACACCTAGGGTTAGCGATACTAAATAAGATCCAGTGGCTGGAAGCTGAAACTAGATTAATTCAGATTACAAATAAGGTCAAATTTAACAGAGAGATTAATTAACCAGTGTAACAAGTTACCTACAGATGAACCAGATCCAACATTACCCCCAGATTACAAAGTTT